GGGAGCAGGACTGATAAGGGGCCAGCAGGGCAGACCCAGCACCAGGCATCAGACACCCCTGTGGGGAAGGGAATGAGCCAGGATGTTGGCCCATGAGTGAGGGTCTGAATCAGACTTGGTGAGGGGAACTGAAAGCCTGGTTAGAGGACACTTAAATGTTAATGACACACTGTTAATGACACTGAACAGAGGATTTAGCAGTAAGACTCTTACTGTCTCAGTAAATGGGATCTGAGCCTAAGTACTTGAACCAGCCCAGGGACAAAGCAAAACAGAAATGTGAGCCACAGAACAGAGAAGTCACAACAATAAGCAGATGATACACACTGTTTTCCTTGGGAAATTTGATGAGACTGTTTACCTCCACTGCAGAGGAAGCAGCAGAGATCTGCCTGGTTTCCAGAATGAGATCTTGCTAACACCCAGAATTGTGAAATGGGATGCACAGCGTAGCCTTTGGCTTTGTGCAGCTACAGTGCAGGTGGTCTTCATGAACACCTAAATTGCCTACACTATTAGCAGTATTTTAGGGAGACCCAAATACTGTCTTTTTTACCTGCATATGATAACTGTAGTGCCATTAGAGCCCTTTACATAGTTTTCAACTTAAAAAGCTAAGATTTTCCATTAACAATTATACAACCTGCATGGCAAGAATGAGTTGAGTTAGAAAGACAGATGGATATCAACTTTTTCTTATATTGTTGTGGGAAATCTCTGCTTTTTTATTTACATTATTTCTGAATTTTTGGCTTCTAAAGCTACAACATGGTGTTGTTGAGAAAGTTTTCTCCCCATTCTCTTCTCATTCTTCCAAATGTCTATGCATTTACAATACTTTCATCGTATTTCAGTCCAAAAAGCAGCTGATATTTCACAAACTGTCCCTCAGGATGTGGAACAGTGACAGGTTTGAGAAGTGGGCCTGTGCAAACTGCATGAAGTTCAACAAGGCCAAGTGCAAGGTCCTGCAAATGGGTCAGGACAATCCCAAGCTAAAGTACAGGTTGGATGGAGAACGGATTGAGAGCAGAACTTCAGAGAAGGACTTGGGGGTGTTGGATGATGAGAAGCTCACCATGAGCAAGCAATGTAAGCTAGCAGCACAGAAACCAACCATGTCCTGGGCTGCATGCCCAGCAGTGATACCAGCAAGGCCAGGGAAGGGATTGTTCCCCTCTGCTCCACTCTGGTGAGACCCCCCTGCAGTGCTGGGTCCAGTGCTGAAGCCTCCAGAACAAGAAGGACATGAAGCTTTTGCAGAGAGTCCAGAGGAAGCCGTGAAGACAATGGAAGGGCTGGAGTGTTCCTTTTCCCTTTTACATCTCCCGACTTAAATGCTCAGTATAGAATTACTGCCCTAACTCTGAGAATAACAAGAATTGCAGCCACTTTGCCACCGCTATAACACCAGTGACCAAAACTACATGTGAAGTACAGGTGCTACTAATGGGGAATGAAAGAAGAGAAGTAAACTTCATTCTCTGTCCTGTGCTGAATAAACTTACACCCTGCTTGGACCCTTAAATTCTTAAAACATGGAAGTGACCAATTAAGATTCATTTGTAACATTCATTTTTAACATAGTTCAAATAATAGTTTCTTATTAGTAAATAATTTTTTTTTTTTAATAATTCCTCTTGACTGAATAACTACTGGTGAACAAAAATAACTTTTCTAGATGTTTTTAAGAAGTAACATTGCAGGGATTAATCATCCAGTCTGTACTTGGACAGAATTCCTTCTAAAGTCAATGGCACTTGTGCCTAAATGCAGAATGTGGGAACATGCCCAAGAAGAGCATTCTATGCTCAGAAAGTATTTATCTTTATATTCTGCCATTAGTCCAAATACAAAGTCTGGCACTGCATTTCGTGACACGTGCTTCTCTGCTAGTTCTGTCTAGAAACAAGCTCTTTTCTGTGTAAAATATTTTTGCTCTTTCAAGTCAATACAACAAACAATACGAGGGAAAAAAATTATCTGATAACTTATTGAATTGAAAATACTGCAAATTTACAAATTCTGCCCTTTAAAACTTGTCTATCTACTGGTTTTATTTTCATTATACATAACAAGTTATATCTGTAATGTTTAAAAATGTTCTATTCCAGCAAAAATATGGCTTTTAACCAAATAAAAATGTAAAGCCAACTTGCTCTAAAATCCATCTGTTTTTAATTTTCTTATAATCTATAATCAGGAAATCCATTCATACATGACATATAATTTTTGTGCTTTCAAGTGGATAGCGGAATGCAGTGTTCTGCATACAGTCACATCTAAATTGATAATGGTCCAGGCAGAGTGTAATTTTAAAGTATAGGAAGAAGGAAGGTTTAATTTGTATATTAGAAGTCTTATACATTTTTTTGCCTCTGAATGTAAATGAGACCATTCTCTGGTGAATTTATCTGAAGGTGGGACAGCTGCCTCAGAGCAGGCTACAGCTTTCTGGGTAAAGAGGATATGGTTTAGAGAGCTGGCTTAAATGCAGACTCTTCTTAACTGTAAACCACATGCGTGCATTCATCATTGATTTTCAAATGATGGGTTTCTGTATCATTGGTTTAAGGTCCACAGTCTTGCATTCCTGAATCCACATTATACTGAAAGAATAACAGTTTGGTGGCTGGAAAGAGGAATGGTTATTATATGGCTCCAAAATGCTAACTGGCATCGTATGCCATGTACAGCAGAAATCTACTGGTAAAGAGAAGATTGCAATAGGGCTTAAAAATAATTTGGTGTTCTAAAAATATACATGTAAGAAATGTTATCACTGTCCAAATACATTGCATCAGTAGGTAAATAGTATAAAGGTCAGATAAAAGGTTTTGAGGAGTGAGGCATTATACAGATACATTCTTTCTCTTAAAAATTGCTAATAGCAAATTGTATTACATATATCTTATGCAGAAAATAGGATCTCTTTCTTTTAAGGGTTTCTATTCTGCAAAAATCACAGCTGTAAGAAAAAAAAATGCAGATTACAGTGCATACTGTTTTGTTAAATATCTTAGGCGCCATGCTGTAGAACTAAAACCAAATACACTGCATCTTCAAACAGCTTCATTTTCACTCTCTGAGATGAGAAATTGTCATGCAACAGATTTCATGTGGCAGTTTTACTTCCTCTTGGTAAAATAGCTCCTGTATGAAGCCAGCACCAGAGAAACTCTACTTTTTCTTCAATTTCTTTTGTTGATATCTTCTCCACATCATTAGTTTTTTTGTATTCAGTTTGTAAAAGATCAAGGCACTGCAGTTTATAAAAGAAAATAGTGTGTATTCAAATACCACTTCTAATTTCACTGCCTCTAGTAACACATAGCATTAATTAGAGCATAATATGAGCAAAACCATGATGAGAGCAATTATTAATTTAAAAGAAAAAAAAAAAGCCTACTGACACAAAATGGAAAATTCTTGACAGTATTCTGCTAATTTAGTTTGATAAGTGTAAAATACACTCTTTTCATTAACTTCTGTTACCTCATTACACTTCAGATATTATTAAGGAAATAAACAACAAGATTAACTATGAAAAGTATTTTAACACAAAATCTCTGGGGTGATCTGAGTGCTTTTAAGTTTTCATCTTTATTACTTTTTGCAAAGGCCTGGGAGATCATGGTAATAAAAAGCATGAGAATAAACAAGCCAGGGAAGGCCAGGGACTAAAGGTACCCCACAAAGCCTGGTCTTCACAGTTCAGAGCCTTCCAAAGCCTGTTTTTGTTGGTTTTTTTATTTAATAGCCTTTAACAGATTTGTGTGTGTTTTGTTTTTGTTTTTTTTCTTTGGATTTTCTCATCTGATTAATACAATTACCATGTGGATTAAAACCTGACTTGATTTTGGTCAAGCTTGGACTAATTTCGTGATCCTCACTAGCAGGCAGATTTACTTTCACATACCGTTATTTCTGTGCCTACCTCATAGAATTTATCGACTTAGTTCTACAATCCATTTATGTCCTGTAGGGCTGCAACCCCCATTTCAGGTGTGGGGAAAAAAAAATTTAAAAAAAAAAAAAAAGTGAGATACTGAGTTCTTCACTGACTTTTGGGACAACAAAGGAAATGTTAATCTTTCTGCATCTCTCTTGAGCCAAGCAGGCGGAATTTCAAGGCTACACTAAAAGGTCACCTATTTCCCCAGACTTTGTGTGGATAAGAGGTGAAATAAGGCAGATGAAGTAGGAAGGTCTCATTTTAGTGGTCAGTAACCTTACAGATAACACAGTTGTCAGTGCTACATGGTGAGAGAAGGAAACCCTTTTCTGAAAAAGGCAAATGAATTGTGTGCCTGTCGGATTTGTTCCTGGGGCCTGCAGAAAGGAGCAGAAAGATGAGGATGAAAGATACAGTGGTATTTTCCAAATAAGGTTATGCTCTTGCTCCCATTGACTTTAGTGTTGACAGAATCAGGTCCAAAAAGTGTGGTGAAGAGAGCCAAAAAACACTTAAGTATCTTCCTAGTCCTCCCCCTGCCTTTTCTGGAAATTATAGCCTAGCTATACTCATCCTTTGTTTAAACACAAAACAAAATCATGACCTGCAAAGGGCTGAGTCAGGAAAGGCAGAATCCTCTGTAGTTGTCAGGAAAACACAGCATAGCTTTGACATTTTTCTAAGCCATAAAATTGTCTGACTGTCCTCATGCTCTTGTAAGGCAAACATTAGATCTTCGGTGCTTTGAATGCACAATACATTGTGCTATATACCATAGTACTCTAAACAGGGTCACATAATGAAATTATTTCAGCACATCACTGAGATATCAGCTGCATTTTAAGACCAGTTGTTCCAAATATATCATGTATTGTGTTTTCCTGTAAAGACATATTGCATGACACAGGTATTCACCATCACTGTTGGGGGGTTTTTTTTGACGTTTTTAGTGTTTGGTCTTAAGAAATACATTGGAGTTTATAACCCTCTCTCTCTTTTTTCTTCTTTCTTTTTTTTTTCCTTCTTCTTTTTCTCACCTGAACAGGAAATGGATATGGCAACCCCCGTAACTCACCAGGTCTGCTGGTCTCACCTGGCAACTTGAACAAGAATATGCAAGCAAAATCTCCGCCTCCAATGAATTTGGGAATGAACAATCGTAAACCAGATCTCCGCGTGCTTATTCCACCTGGCAGCAAGAACACAATGCCATCAGTGGTAATGCATTTTCAAAGCTTTTTCTTTTTAAATCTCCTTCAGATAAGAGATATTTAGGAATTTCAAGGCCTGCTCAAGCAACTAAAATCAGCAGAATAACATTCCACGGTCTTGCTTGTATGGTCTTGGTGCCTAACCTTTAGTCTTGACATCGAGCTGAGGATGTAGGCAGAGCCTGTTTGATTGTTTTTATGAAGTCATATTTGCTTCCTCCCTTTTTGTTTTTTTTCCTATTGAGTTGCAAAATAGGAACTGCATCCTGCACAGTCTCAGCTTCTGCGCAGTCTTTCCTAGTAGCTGGAAGGACTTTTCCCGGATTTGTTATAAAGGCTGAATGTAACCCTGAGTTTTCCTCATCTACCGTGTTTTTCTTAAATATTTAGCCACACAGTCTGAGCAGATGGCAGATTAACTACAAATACATTAATTTGAGCTCTATCACTCTGAGCTCCAAAGGCCAAATTTTGTAATGATGAGGTACTAAGTAGAGTAAGATAAAAAGGATCATGAAACTTCTGTATGCCCTGCCAAAATTGATGAAATTTAGACAGACTGTTAAGCTAGGAGGCTGAATTGTGAAGGTGTCATGTGCGTATGTTGTAGTTCCCTTTTGAAAGTCAGTTAGTGGATGCAAGTAAATCTTTCATGAGTGATTTGACATTAAAACTGAGCTTAATTTAAAAAAGGATCTTGGTGGTCAATTTAAGTGACACTGTAATCACATTTTTCCGTTATGTAACAGACACTATTAAAACAACTTCCAAGGTGGCTAGTTCAGCTTGACACATAATAAATTAACTTTGAACATCAAAATAAACCTCCCATAAATGCGATGCTGCCTTCTGAGAGGATAAGTAACAGTCTCCTAAAAGGCAACGCTGGAAGTCGACCAAGGCAGTGACAAGCTGCCTGCATCAAATTATTTATTCCAAGGTCCTTAAAACTGATACTTTCCAAGGGATTCTGTGCATGATCAGGTCTCCTGATATCAGGTATAGCAACACAGTCTGCAGCCACTGGGGCTGTTAAAGAAATAATGAATTCTTAGAGAAAGTCTTGTGCTGAAAACTGGATAGATTGTCCTCACCATTGAAACAAACATCCCATTAGAAGGACAAAGAAGAGATCTATGAAGTGTTATTTTTGCAGACTATGCTTAGAAAGTGTTTACCTTGCTGCCCCTAGCAGAAAATGCTATTCCCTAGGCTAGAAATCTGCATCCTGGTAAATATTTGTATTCACTAATTTTTAATGCTCCTTTCCTATGCACTCAGTCTGAGGATGTTGATCTGCTTCTGGTAAGTGGTAGTGATGTTCATGTTAATAACAAGGAAAAGAAAATCAGTTATTTTGTATGATTGATACTTGAGTAGGTGAGGTGTTGGTTGAAATAAAGCAGAAAACTTTATCTTAACTATGTTGTGAACAAAAAGGTCATAGTAATTTTTTATATGGAAGGCCAAGTGCAGTTGTTGCACATACTCAAGTTGTGCATGCTATAAAAAAGTTTTCTTCTAACTTGAGCTGTTGAAGGCGGTGCAGCCTCACGATATTTTTGTGGTAGCACTCCAGTCGTTTTCTTCTGCCACCCACAGGATTAGAGTTTCTAGTGCAGTTTTTACAGTGCAACATTTAGTGCCCCGGAGTTAAAAGCTGAGTAACTGCTGTGCTACCTAACGGACTTGGAAGTTTGCTTTATTGCACAAAAACGAAGTAGTCAGAGCCCCATCTGCTGGTAATGAGTTCATTGTTCAGCAATTATGAAGTGCCTTGCACTTCCAAAGAAGTAAGTCCAGCAGGGCTGGGTTTGGGTTCTTTTTGGGGGTTGGGTGTTGTGGTTGTTATTTATTTATTTAACTTTTTTTTTTAGTCCCCATTTGAGTAAAAAGGAAACAATGGGAATAGAGTTTACATATTTCATTAGTTTTTCACTGGATCTGCTTTTCTACCCACAATAAAAGCAATCTTACTTCTTACTAGTTCAGTTACCTAGGAGATACTGATGTAATGGGTTACTATGGTGACAACTGGTCTCTTGAAGGCTTGTAAATGATAGGGTTGGCAGAGTTCATAAAAGCCACATGTTAAATGATTAATTTCCAGAAATTTGTATCAGCTTGTATTTCTCATGCACAAAACATACCCAGAAAGCTAATACACTCAACTGACTTAAAACTAGTTAATAATATGTTTATTTTACTTACTTTAAAAGAATCAGAGGATAAATAACTCCCAGTCTGCTCAGTCATTGGCTACTCCAGTGGTTTCCGTAGCAACTCCTACTCTACCAGGGCAAGGGATGGGAGGATACCCATCAGCCATCTCAACAACATATGGTACTGGTAAGTATGGGTGCAAAATATAAAGAGTGGGGGAAGGATTAAGAAGCTGACAAATGTCTATCTCAGTACTAATTAATTAGCTAATGTTCACTGGGAGAAACTGGAAAATTCATAGCTGATACACTCTTGCACTGCATTTACTTCTTCTGTATCTGTCACTAAGTTGACACATATCTATTTTAAAGCTAGCTGCTTTGTTCAAATGAAAAACTGATTTGATAGCTTTCTTCCATTTATTTAATTTAAAAAAAAATAAAAAATAAAATAAAAGATGTAACTTAAAAGACATTTCTTAGTAGTTTTAGCAACACAGGTAACTTTCTGTAGTTGAGTGCGCCTTCTTAAAGTCATAAGGGTAGTGGGAGCAAGCAGCTTCACTGGCTTTGAAACAGAGATCAGTAACTTTGTAGACTGTCACATAATTATCTGGAAGAGGCTCAAAATGAAGCCTTCAGGGATCCTTTAGTTCCCATTGCACATTGCTGCTGTATAGGGCAGGCTGGCATACAGATCCAGTGCTCCTATTGAAGACAGGCTGTCTGCTGAGCTGTACAAGAAAGACTATAACCAAAATATTATGGTTTTTAAGTCTTTGACTATGTGAGAATGCATCTGTAGATATGTGGATGTAGCTGTAGCATGGTGGATATAAAGACTAAGAATGCTTTGGATCTTCCAGATCCAGAAAAGCCCTGCTAAATTGCAGAATAATTATTAGTGCATTATTTGCTCCTGACTTAATGAGTTGAGGGAAGAGGAAGGTCTACTTTTTCTGCTGCAATTTAATGTGATTGGTGTAATTAAAATTAAAAGGCTTATAAAGTAACGTGAAAATTATGTTGCTAGTTATTGTTTAATTGCTTCCTCCTTAATCCTCTTTTAATTATTGTCTTTTCTGTTTTCACATCTAGAATATTCTCTGAGTAGTGCAGATATATCATCTCTCTCTGGGTTTAATACAGCCAGTGCTCTTCATCTTGGTTCTGTGACTGGCTGGCAACAGCAACACCTACATAACATGCCACCGTCTGCTCTCAGTCAGTTGGGGTAAGCAGTGTTTTCTATATTTTTCTATAATGACTTCCATCTCCCCAGTAATCCCAAATCTGAAATGTATCAAGAGAACCTATCAGCACATATTTCCTGTGTGTAAGAGCTCTTTTTCCCCAAACTGGAACTACATTATTTTGTGAGAAGTTTGCTAGGTGGCGAAACTGAAATATTCTGTCTCCGTGACATTTTCTCAGTAGGGTAGTAAAGTCTGCTGTTTATGTTTTACTCTTTTATTCTCTAGATAGTATTTCATTTCACTACTAAACACCAAACTAAACACTCATATTATACTGCTGCTGTATTTTGCCATTTATGCTTTTTATTTCCAGTTACTGTAGCACAAACATTTACAGCAAACTTCAATTTTTTCTAAATATTTTAAATCAAGTAAGAGTGACATAAACAGTTTACCTGAGATTGAGTCTTAATTTTATATAATAATCACCTACTCCCTTCTGCTCAAGCCTGACATTCCAGTTTTATCTCTCCAGAAATATTTTCTGCAAGCAAATAACTTAATTAGGCCTAAAACCTGTAAATTCACAAAACTTGAAGCCATTTTCCCGTTCATGCCCTCTAGTGGCTAATTGCAAGGCATTTGATCAAGACTGGCAAAGCACACTGCTAAATCATTATTTCAAACCGTGAAAATACACACAAGGAAGTCACCTAATGAAAAAAAAAAAGTGACCTATTGGCTCACTGAAGTAAAGTTTAAGACTATGGTTTTCAAAAATCCTGGTATCTGCAGTTTCTGTTGAGTGAGGCCATAGGCATTCACCAGCACACCATACATAGCCCGACGTATGGATAGACATGCTGGAATTTTATGAGTTTTTATTATAAGAATTGAATACAGCTGAAGTGTACTTACGAGGAGAAATTAAATTCTCATGCATTACTTGAAAGGTAACTTCCTTTTTTTTTTTTTTTCATAAAGACATGCTGCACATCTGCACGATTTGATTATTTTTTTTTTTCAGGATGTTTGTCATAGTGTGAAAATATTTAGTACTATAAATGTGGCTCAAACTTCAAAATTCTCCTTCTATTTTATCTGACCACTTTTTGTAACTTTCTGTAATTTCTTTACCATATACAGATGGATTTGGTTTTTAAAGGACAGCTATACAAGTGTTTCTGAGGAAACAAAATTGTTTAAACCTCAATTCTATATAAATAACTATATATAGATACTAACTACATAAAAACATACCATTGAAATAGTTGTTGTGCTAGAAAAAAACAGTCTTAATACCTTTCTCTTACACTTCTATTTTGTTTTTGAGTTTGCACTGTTTCTGGGGCAACATTAAGGCTAACTGTAAAACTAAAGACATAAAGTCTCAAATAAATAGAAAACTCACATGTTAGGTATCAATAAGCTTACAATAAGCTGATTGTTTTCAGTGGTGTACCAAAGAATGTAGTAAGGCTATTTGGTTAACCAAAAAAGTAAAAATTAAATCCTAAACTAACTACATGCCTTTTCAGATATGTCACACATCATCATCTGTTTCTAATTCATATCACAAAATGTCAAAGTGTAATGGCTGTGGCTGGTGGATACATTCTGAGTTGCTACTTTTATTATTGTTCTTCCAGCTATTTGTAAATTAATTCAGCTATGAAAGCTGCTTTGCTGGCAGTTCTGGAGAAGTCTTCTATTGCTGCAGAAAATCATAAGCATTTCTCTATTTTATTTTAGTCACTGAGTTCTCCATGCAAAAGCACCTCTGATAACTTGGATTATTTGAAAAACTTGAAATTATACAGAACATATTCAGTCCATGTCAAGCTAAGCTAGAATTTGCAGGAATAGTAAAAAAATCACAGAAAATTATACTCATGTCCAGGTATTTGACAAAATATATCCAGAAAGGTTTTGACAACCCAGATCCCTGTGCTGAGTGATGTCATATACTGCAAAGGTTTGGCAACTGTGAGATGCTGGTCGATAACCGTAGGCTGCAAAGATCTGTGAGAAAACAGTTACTGGAACAGACATATTAGTTCTCCAGCAGGTTTTTTATTCACTGAACCCTAAATGTGAAAAACAGCTCTGCTTCCTCAGTGCGTGGCAGAAGAGTTTGGCTACTAATAGACTAGAATAGGGTTACACATTATTAGCTCGCTCAAACTCCCCAGCAATTTCAGCAGCACTATCAGAACCATCTTTAAGACAAATTCTATTGAAAAGCAGTCCCTTTAAAAACTTTGGGATTTTGTCTGAATACTGTTGCAGTGTCTCTTACAGAGAGGGTTACTATTTATTTAACATGGACCAAAGAGTTTACCAGAAGTTAATTGCTGCTAACCAGAGGGGAAGTCCATTCCAAACATGTAAAGAAATGATCTAAATATTTTTGGGCACAAGTCCATTCTATGGAAAATATTATCCTTCATCCATATTTCCCAGTCTAAGACAGAATATCATCTTCCTTAAGTATCATCCACAGGTGAAATTTTAACTCTCCTAAAATACAAATGCAAATATAGAAACAGCATTTCATTGTTTATGTAAAATAAGTTCCTCGAAATTTCTACCCACCTGAAAAAAAAAAAAAAAAAGAAAAAAAAAAAGAAAAGACTGACTTAATTAATATTGTTGACTGGTTTTGTGACTCTTACACAGCAAGGTTACTACTTAGCAACAGTTATTTTTTATTCGGTAATAGTCATAGCTAGATATGGGCAAATATTCTTCATTGAAACATTTTTACTGAAAAATTTAGATGCATAGATATCATGTTTTGTGAATTTGTATCAGTTCTGCCAACCTCCTTGTTTTGAATAAAAGCCCTACATATTCAGGGTGGAGCCTTTTTTCTTATACCACTATTGTAAATAAGATATTCCAATAGTTCAATTTCATATTACTCTTCATTTAGAAATTCCTTTTTAAAGAGTAGACATTAACTTATGAGAGATAATCAAAATATCTTGGCACAGAAATTCTTACTCTGCTTTTGCATTGATCAAAAGCATGGAAAAAAAAAAAAAAAAAACAACTTTATTTTTACCTGAAAGAAAAACAGAAAAGAGGGAGGAAGGCTGCTTTGCTAGCAAGTCAGAAGTATCCTCTGTTCTCCCAGCTACAGACCAGCACATAACTAAAAGTACCTAACAAAATTTTGCAGTGAATGTTCAATGTTTCCTTATTTCTATTTATGGTGGGAAATGGTATGATGTGAGGAAGTAAACTGATTTAGAGAAGTCTGGGTATAAAGAAAAGGTATGTGAGGCTCTTCCTTCCTTCCATAGAACACTTTGTTCCCTCTGTACAAACCTGTTTGGTGCATGTTCATGTCCTCACTCCCCACCTGCTCAGACCTGCACCTCTACCTCTGCATGCTGAGCTTCCAAACCAGCTGGAGTTTTGAATAGATGGAGACAAACACAGAGCTAATCTCGCTGGCATCAGCAAGGAACAAGCCCAGTTGTAAGCTCCTTGTGTCCTGACTTGCTTCCCACCCCTTGAACGGCAAAGCTGTATAGTTGCTCTGTGTTCAACCCAGATGGGAATCAGCATTTCTCCCCCGTGGCTGTTTTATTCTAAACAAACATCACATTTTCACCATGCTGGTCTCAACAGGAACTGCTGTGTAAAAAAGTAAAACATTAATTTTCTTAATTGTCCATATAAAACAAAATGTTTTCATGCAATACATGGGGGAAAAAAAAAAAAAGGTGATTAAATCAACATGAGTGGAGTGCATGGCACTTGTTGAGTGCTCTCAATTATAAACAATTCTTTGAAGTAATTTGCTTTATTTTCTCTGTGGATTTTCCATATTCCAAAACTGTTTGTTTTCCAGTGAACTTAGCGTAGGTCTCAAGTGATGAAAATGAGACATGACTGGACCAGAATAGCCTATATGAAGTGACAGTATGAAATATACATTGATACATACAGATATAAGCAGCTGTTTCTCCACTCACTCACATGAATACACAAAAAGAAATAATGTTGTAGCAGACAGAATTCTCATTTTTTACTATACAGTTTCTTTTCTGAATAGAGATCAATCCTCTGTTTAGAATACAAGTCTAAGGACTGCACCAAAGTATGTATTATTTCACCACTCACATCTATGTGCAACTGCAGGTTTCCCTTGTAATTAACCATTTTACCTGAGATGAGATTCTCACTAAAATGTTCCAGAAAATTTTAGCGAAATGAAGTAAATTATAGTCATCAAAGAAACATTAAAATTCGGAAATAGTTGTAGCTGAAAAAGACTACACTAAAGAGAAAAATATTTTTATATATTTATGACTGCTTTAATATATTGATGTTGTTTTAAACCTCAAAAATTTGGTCTTGACCTGCCAGAATTACTTAATTTTTTTTTTCATTTTACAAAAAATGTCCAAAATTTAGATCAACCTGTAGAATTTTTTTAACTGTCCCAAATTTGTATGCCAGGTGTTTATATAAGCCTGCACAAGAAATTTAAAAAAAGGCCTATAGAGATGCATTCTCATGTTCACTTCTGAAATACTATTAAGTACTATTTGCTGACCTTACTAAAGTTACAGCCTGTTTTCCCGGGTGAAGTCCTTGTGTCTCCTAAGCAACTTAAAAATAAGGTCACTGGAAATGAAAAGAAAAAAAAAAAAAAAAAAAGAAAGAAAAGAAAAAAAAAAAAGAAACAATAAAACCCAAATACCAACCTTGTATGTATTTTTTATTCTTTTTGGATTATTTGCAACAAGTTTTTAGGAAATGAGTGGAATATTAAACTAAATTGAAATGACAAAGTCTGATATTTGAAGTTTCTTATAGATATGTTAATTTAGTCATTACAAAAGTAAACAAAATGCCGTCTTTAAAAAAAAAAAAATGCCTACCTCTGCTACTCTGAGGGCTAGTACTTAGGAACTCTGTGACTTCTGAAAGGATTTGCTGCAAATTTGGTACACGTATCAGTATAGGAATGAAGGGTGCATAAAAACAATTGAAGGTGGAACATCCTACTTTATTTCTAGCAAGATCCATCCATTATTAAAGACTGTAATAATTCCTGGTGAAAGCAGCTGATATCATTCAATATTGAAGTCATGTAGTTCCATTTTAACTCTGTCAGATGAAAACAACATTTTTTCTTTCATGGAAGTAATAGTAAATGTTGCATAAGTGAAGCTCAATCCCCAGTTGATATATCATAAAAAGTGGAATATTTCAATAATTGAAAATACCACATCTCAACTTGAATTTTTTCTTCTAAATATTTAAAAATTCCTTCCAAATCACAGTACTTCTTTTGCTTGCAGTAAAAATCCTGCACATCCTTCGGGTTTAAAAGCTTCTGAGGCCAAGAGGCCTGTTGCCTCCAGCTGCCTTCAGTCTCCCCCTGTATAAATACTCACTACCAAAACCCTTGAAACTGTGTCTCTAGGGCTAGACAGTAACTCCAGCCTAGCAAATGGTATGTGAACTGTATGTCGAGAACTCTATTTTAATAATGAAAAGTCAGGTTTTACCAGGAGGTGGTGCTTTTGTACAAAACATCCTGCAGACACAAGCGATCTCATTTCTTCATAGAGATAAAGCACATTCTCACTATTCACTCTCCTCCCTGCCTGTCTCAACTTCCTTCTCCTCCACCTGCCCAGAAAAAAGTGCACAGAAAGAAAATGAACCATAGAATAGTTACAGAGTTTACCTTTGAAAAAAGCTTTAGCAATTTCTCTGGATGCTTGGAGCATCCTCTGAGCTGAGCTCTCCTACACACAAAGAGTACAATCCTCTGGCATCTTCCACTGCTCTTCAGCATCTCTTTGGTAGTTTATTCCAAAGCATCCTGGATTGAGTAATGAATCCATAGATTTAAACCATACAATTGTATCTTAATCCTTCCCCACCTGCGGTGTTTTGCAAATATCAATCCTAGGACCAGTAATTTCAACTCAAATCTAAAAGGTGTAAAATGTACCTGGCCCTGATTTTTGTTCCTTTTTTTTCATCTGAAGCCACACATCAAATGACCAGTGATGGAATAGTTGGGTGCTCTCAAACTAGTTGGGTTAATCCCAGCAGAAAGGCCGTGCCTCCCGTGTCTCAGCCGGTGCCTACACACACACAAGCATTAGTCACAATGAAACCTTCAGGTCGCTCCAACAGTGCAAAGGCTCGCCTTCCAAAATTTGTGGTGACACTTGAGTCGGAAAAGGGAGAGGAGAGAGAGAGAGAGAGACTGAAAAGCAAGACCTCCTTTAAATCCCGAGGGCACGTCCCACTCCCGCCAACCACATGGGTTGTGCGGCTTTCACCTCTTTGCATTGGTGAATTCTACCCAGAAAACAGCCCTCGTGCTCTCCTCAGGCGCTGGTCCCTTGCGAGCCTTTACACTGGTGTTTTGTGTGAGTGTTTGTGCATATCTGGGGGCTCCATGCCTCCTCCGTCTGTAACTGGGTTTCCTTTCCTCCTACAGAGCTTGCACTAGCACTCATTTATCTCAGAGTACAAATCTCTCCCTGCCTTCTACTCAAAGCCTCAACATCAAGTCAGAACCTGTTTCTCCTCCTAGAGACCGTACCACCACACCCTCGAGATACCCACAGCACACGCGCCATGAGGCGGGGAGATCTCCTGTTGACAGTTTGAGCAGCTGTAGCAGTTCCTACGATGGAAGTGACCGGGAAGACCACCGGAACGAATTCCACTCCCCCATTGGACTCACCAGACCTTCGCCGGACGAAAGGGAAAGCCCCTCTGTCAAGCGCATGCGGCTCTCTGAAGGATGGGCAACATGATAACTTTATTACCTATTAGTTTATTTTTATTATTTTATTATTATTTTTTTTTCTTGCAGTGTGTGTGTGCTCTACTTTTAAATTGCCTCAGTGATACAGTATAAGGATAAACAGAAATGCTGAGATAAGCTTAGCACTTGAGTTGTACAACAGAACACTTGTACAAAATAGATTTTAAGGCTAACTTCTTTTCACTGTTGTGCTCCCTTGCAAAATGTATGTTACAATAGATAGTGTCATGTTGCAGGTTCAACGTTATTTACATGTAAATAGACAAAAAAAAAGGAAAACGTTTGCCAGAAATGGCAGATCTTTACTGAGAGAGAAAGCAGCTGTTATGCAACATATAGAAAATGTACAGATGTTTTGACAGACCCAGCAGTTGGGCGGCCGTGAATTGATGCTGGAAAGAGACCGGGTCACCTAACATATTGAAAATGCTAAAAAACATGCAGGCATATCATTAGAGTATGGCACTCAGTTAAAAAGGATCAAAACAATTAAAGAGGACCATACTTGTAAAAATGTTGAGTTTGAGGGCTACAATTAATTTAAAAAATTCTGGGTCTGCATCACTTATTAAATAAAAAAATAAAAAAAAAAGAATTAAAATATGTACATTACATTTTGCTTATTTTCATATTAAAAAGTAAGACAGAGTTTGCAAAGCATTTGTGGCTTTTGTAGTTTCCTTAAGCCAAAATGTGTTCTTTTTTCCTTGATAGCTTCGCTAATCTTTTAAACAGTCCTGAAGAAACAAACAAAAAGGACTTTTTGTATAGAAAGCACTACCCTAAGCCATGAAGAACTCCATGCTTTGCTAACCAAGATAACTGTTTTCTCTTTGCAGAAGTTTTGTTTCTGAAATGTGTATTTCTAATTATATAAAATATTAAGAATCTTTTAAAAAAATCTGTGAAATTAACATGCTTGTGTATAGCTTTCTAATATATATAATAATTATGGTAATAGCAAAAGTTTTTGTTATCTTAATAGTGGGGAATTATATTTGTGCAGTTGCACATTTAACTATTTTCTTTTGGTTTTCTTTTACTGGGTATATCTTATACAGATCAAAGTCAGCTGTTGAAAGACTGATCTGTAAAAAATTAGAACTTACCCATGGTGTAACAACTTTAATCATTTTAATACAGCATTTTACAATCAGTTGGGTGAATTGCGATCCATTGTATATACTGATTAGTTCTTTCATGCTGTTTTGTGCATTGTAACAAGTTAAGGGCCCTTCTATTACTCAATGTCCTGCGTATCTTGTAGTTTTCCATTGGTTAAATGACAAAGTGGCATAACTTGGCCCTTTCTCATTAATTAAGCTGGTATTCTGCCTGTCAGAATTGGATGTACAGCTCTAGCGGCTGTCAGCTACTTGAGTGCAGGTGAATATTTGCAGAAGCAGTAGGGAGAGTTAAAGGGACGGATGGGCACGAACATGCCTGCTGTAAAGATTACTCCCCTCTCACAGATTCGAAGCTAGTAGAGAGATCCTTAATTAAAGGGCCATTCAGAAAGCGACTGATCTTAGACAGCCAATATTGGCCATCAGGTCCCTGGTTCTCATGGACCTCTGCAGCCATGTCATCTCACCGTGGGCACTTTGGTCACTCCTTGTGTACCTGCACCCTAGCAAGATTTGCTTCAGCAAATGGCACCCATGTTTTCTCCTGCCTCGTATTGTTCCTTTGACTAAAACAGCTTGACCACAGGGAATCTATCCCTCCTATAAGTCCCTCTTTGTTCCTCATGTTTATTACCAGAAAATGACATATTCAAGTGTTTCGGTTTAACCTTTCTATTGAAGGGAAAAAAGTGTTTAAGCAAAATGTTCGTGCCAGAGTAAAACTGTAATATTTCTCCTTTTTCCAAGAGTCCTTCCAACTCTCACCTACCTACATTGACACTATGACGAAGGCTACAGATGTGACAGCTAAAAATCAACACGGAATAGTTTGTTGAGGGAAATCCACTCGCTGCTTCCCACCTGTACACGCAGTTGCTGTGCACTGCTGGATGACAGAGTGTAACCTCTCCGTAGAGAAAGATGAACAGACCACAGCATGCATTGGGACATACACTTTTCACTCAACAAGGCTTTGCAGAAGCCTGCCTTACAGGCACTGTCAGCCATGCAGGGGCTAGTGCATTATCTGGAAACTCATTAAGCAGAATACTGTGCTGCTCGTGCATACATCTTATCTCGTGTAGCAGTCTGCAGGGTAAACAAAAAGATACGCATGTTAAAAAAAAAACAAAAAAAACCAAAAAAAACACAAAACACAAAAAAAACCAAAAACAAAACAAAAAAGCACACAAAAAAACACACAAAAAACCACAAAAAACAACAAAAAAGCAAAAGCAAAACAAAAAAAAACCAAAACAACATAAAAAAGGTAAAATGGGGCCCATAATTAATTTTAAAACACAAAAAAAGCTGTTTTTGAAACCACTTTCTTCACCTTCAAATGAATCTATACTCGTATTCTCTTCTGAGAATTTTAAACTTTGGTGTGTCAAAAATATGCAAATATATCACAAATGTACCTTGTAATTTCAAGAAATAAATACAATTTTATCAGTATTGTAGTAGAAACTTGTCAGTGGGGAAGGGGATTTGGTCTATTGATATATGAAGAATAGCCATATTAATAGTTTACCTTGCGATTTGCCTCAGCAACGCATGAAAAAGGAAAGGTATCGTATTTAACGAAGATGCAGTGTAATATATTAACTGCAAGTAACTAAGCAGAAATAGCGTGAAAAGTATTGCCTGGGCAATTTATATTAACTCTGACAGTGATTTTTGTATAAACACAAGTAGAACAGAATCACGTGAAAATAAATGCCAGTCGCCCCTCTAGTTCCTGCTGCAGAGGGCAACTAACTTATACTGGCAAATTGTGGGGGATAATGCATATTTGCAAACTGATCTAATTATAAGAAGCACAACTTTGATTGTGAAGTCACTTTCTGTAAACTAGAACTGTCTACCTTTCTTGTTCCTTTACCTGTACCTTACCATTTATTGTATTTGCAAAGCTAATTTGGGTTTATTGTGTGATTCCTTTGTATTTAAGGAGTTTGGGGCAGAGCCCTGAAAGAGTATTAACATTTACTTTACCTTAACCCATGCTATATAATGTTTTAGGCAACATTCTTAATTGTAAGTTCAAACACCTGAAGTGGCATTCTAGACATCTGCAAGTATTGTTATAGCTATGCTAACCTCTATTAAAAGGTGTTGTCAGTTAGTGTTTAATTGCTGGTGACAATTATATGATATACCCTATCTGCACAACCTGTATATTGTATGCATTGAGCCATTGGCAGTAAAGCTTTTGTCATTTCAGTGTTTTTCAAAAGTTGTGTTTTATAACAAAATGGCTTATATTTTTCCCAGAAGAGGAATTTAGCAGTTTTTAATGAATAATATAAAAAAAAAAAATCTGTTGTCCTCAGATCTTTTTCAGGTAAAGCTAGCATAAGAATAAAAGAACCCATAGACTGTTTTCAAGGATGTCAACCCTTTTGTATTGTATGTGTTATCCTATATACCCTCTTTTATCTATAGTCCTAACAGAGCTGTTTTGTTTTCCTTCTTCCTTCGCCTTGAAGGTAAATGCTTTGTAATTTTTTAAAAGCCACTTGAAACCTCAATAAAGGCTGTTGCCTAAACATGGCATACTTCATCTGTTCCTGTTTGTGCCATCTGCTGTGATGTCGTCAGTTATATGGCATTAATTTCCTGCCACTACAGGTCTCTTGAAGGACTGATGGAACATTGGTGTCTGTTAGAATGCTTCAGACTGTAGATGTAAAAAAAAAAAAGGCTTTTGTTAATATATTTTAACCAAAGATGTGGAGCAATCCAAGCTTTGAGCCACAGACCTTCTGCATCAAAACTATCCGTTTGATTATTTTCATAATCAGGTGTTGCAGTTCTACCTTCCCTGCTCATACCTCAGACTGATCCATACCTCAGTTTGATTCAAAAAAGGTCAGTTAAGCAACTCGTTTTAAAAAAATAAATAAAAAATAAAAAAATAATAATAAAATGCAGTACCAGAGTCTTTTGTGGAGTAACTAATATCAGACCTGGGTTACCACAGGCATTACACTTGGATTGCTTCAGATGGTTTGTTGTATCCTTTTTTTTTTTTTTCCTTTTTTCTTTTTTCTTCTCTTTCATGGGGATTTGCTTCCATAAAACAATGGTGATAACAAAATAGCTTGTAAATGGGAGCATACAAGCATTTGCAAAAATATTAAAGTAGAGGCTCACAGCGGCATAAGCTGGACTTTGTCGCCACTAGATGACAAGATGTTATAACTAAGTTAAACCACATCTGTGTATCTCAAGGGACTTAATTCAGCTGTCTGTAGTGAACAAAAATGGGAAAATTTCAAAAGATTCTCCTGCTGGAAATAAGGTATAATTTGTATTTTGCAGACAAATCAGTAAAGTTACTGGCTTTCTTAGTGATATGGTGTCTGTGGTGCATTTTTTTTTTTTTTTATTAATTTGAATACTGTTCCATTTTCACTGTTTTACATTGTAATATGTGAAAGAATCAGAACTTTAACAGCTGGCAGGTGCCTCGAGGTCCCTCTGCCTGTCACTTGTGCTTGCTGGGAAAGTTAAGCACCTTTTTGTGGTGCCCTGAGCATACTGGTGCCTCACAAATGTTAATGCCCCTCCACACATCATCCCACCAAGGTAGAGAAAATCTGTAGTTGCTCTGGAAGTTAGTGTCATTTTGAATGAGTCCATCAGAATCTGGCCCTGATGTCTGAGCTAGGAGCAGAGCTAGGTGAGATAATGCCTGTCTTTTAAGTACTTAGTCCCTGACAGGGGATCCAGATTCCTGTATATACATGTCCTGTAATTTCTCCCCATGCAGAGAACTATGCCAAAACCCTACCAAACAAGAACGTGTTCTGTGTCTAATATATTGTTGGGTCTGTGCTGTTTATATATGCTTTAACATGATAACTTCATAGAGACTGTGTCAGAATTAATATGTTTCTTTTTGTGTACTTTTGTTGTTGTTTAA